ATCTGGCTTAAATGCTTACATTTACTGACTGAAACATAAAAAAACAACATAATTAACAAGGATATTTATCAAGAAGTTAAGACTTATGAGTTCACATGCTAGGATTTCCTATGGATACTTGAAATAAATCAATGAAATTACCTGATAAGACCTGATGTGTACCAAATTTTGGCTGTTATAATGAAAATATACCCAGATATATCTAATTAATGTTGTAAAAGAACATGCTAAAAACAAATTTACTATGAAAGATAATTTTGAATTTTCAGAGAAAATCAGAAACTTGAAATTTTATAAGGGCTGGATGTCACATCTTTAAAAAAATTATTTACTAATATTTCGATAAATCAAACTATTAGTATTTATTTGGATTTGATTGACAATGACAAATATATCATGCCTTGAGAGATTTCAAGAAATGACAACAGAGGAATCCCACTGTAACAATGAAATATTTCGGTACAAAGATGGTTTAAGTATGGCAAATATTTTCATGTACTATGTGAGGAATTACATGATTATTTCTTCTTTCAAGTGTGAGCATCTGTTGGCACGTAATCATTACATATATTATCACAACACACACATTTCATTACACGTACCTTCCGTGAATAATAATAATTTATATTTCTTCTTGCAATCATCTTAGCAAAATTGAACTACCAAACTATGGTGTGTGATGTAATATATTGATTGTACACTATGTTTATAGGTAATTGGCTTATACATAATGATATGATAATAATGTGAAATCGAGCTATGCTTAGCTGCAGTCTATAATAAATTAACTGCCAAGTTAAGAAGAGAGGTTAGTGTTTGTTGTAGGTGCCTAATTGGATTCGCTGCATAGCATGTGAATGTCCCTTGTCCTGTAATTATGATTATTTTGTGTAATTTGTATGTGTTTTATTGAACAGTTTCTGGGATCTTTATGTAATTTTCATTACTGAGCTAGTCGAGGCTGTTGTTGATGACTTAGTTGTACGTGGTGGAACTAGGTTATCACAGTCACTATGAGAAGGAATGGATTGAAAACAGTCCCTCGTATGTAACAGATGTGGATTACACATACAGGTTTTTGAGAAATCAGAACAAGCAGCAGAATTTTTAAGTTATGCTTACAAAAAAGAATAAAATCATTAAAAATATCACGTAATCTTAACAAGAATCTATGCTGCATCTCTTAGAAGCAGTTACTAAAATTAAGAACAAATTATTACTTTGAGGTTGTTATTTATCATAAGCCTGTTTTTCTGGTTTTTATTGTAATAACAGTTTGTTCCAGTTAAAGGAAACATGATTGAAATTTTAATCTGTAGAGCTTATCACTTAACCAGCAATTGGGAATTGTTTAAATTAGAAGTAGAGAATATTAAGATACACCTAATGGACAGCTTTCTATGTCACAACAATTGATAATATTTTCAAAAAGTTTGTTTTGTGTTTCAACCTCTAAATAAAGGAAAGTGGACAGTACCAAAAAAAAAGAAATATTTATCACTTTGCCATTTATGGGCTTACATGGATTAAAAATTAAAAAGCAGCTGAGAATTTTAAATTAGGACAGCATATCTACAAGTTCAGCTAGTTTGCATATACAAGCCTGCAAGAAGATTACAGGACTACTGTGTTTTCAATGATAAAATTCCTACTATTATACCTTCCAATGTGGTTTACCTGTGTTTCAAGTACAGAAGCCCATATAACAGATTTTCATCTTGATACCTTCACAAATGTATTAAAGAGCATTTGAACAACAAAATAAAAGATAAATCCAGCATAATATACCACATTAGTACAGAATATGATGAATCACTAAGAAAAAAAATCTAGATCATTGGATCAGCAAAGACTGATTTATAGCTTCAGATTAAAGAAACTACTAATAATCACGATGAAACCAAAACTGAACTGAATGGCTATTGCTTCTAGACTGTTATTAGAACTATGACTGGAAGTAACACTGCAATAAACTATTGAACTTTAATGCATTAATCTCCATAAGTTTTATGGAAGATTATAGTGAATGCAACCAAATCTTGATCAATCACTGTTAGATGAGCAGTTTTTGTACTTTAATATTGAGTTTATTCTGTTGAAGAGTATGTTTCATAAATATACATAGACTGTATTTTTTTTGTATGGATTATCTTTGTTTCCAGGACAGCTAAGGGACTTTTTTTTTTATTTTTTTTTTGCAGTGACCCACTTCTTCTCCAGTCCTTTCTAGAAGGTGAAATACAACATTTAGGAAAAGTGAGTGTTATTCATTATAACCTAAAATTTTTAATGCATAGGACGGCAAAACTATCTACTGATTTTGAAAAAAATAAATTTTTTAAATTAAAAAGGATTATCATCATAAAACAAGTCTGCATTAGGAAAAAAATACTGCTTAGACAAATATTGTATGCCATGAATAAGTATAAAAATAATTTCATGAAAATTGTAAGCTTGATTCTTTGTGCTTTAATTTTCAAAGTATTGAAGCAGTTTTCCTTTGTCCAGTTTCCGGTTATCACAATTAAAGCTACTTGTGTTTTATCAAAGCGGTAGGCAATAAAGTGTTACTTGTATTTCTTTTATGTTATGTATATATTTTTTCTGCATGGGTACAGGAAGTGTCAGTTTAATTTTATCATATTGACATTTTCAGACTCAAGAAGATGGAAAAGTCTCAAAGTCAATGATATCTGCCTCCCAGCTATCTGGTCAAGAGCATGTAAGGGCTCCTGATGTTGTTCAGACACAGGGCCTTTTTCCTGCTATTGGCCTGAAGCCGTCCTTAGAGTCTATGGGATACAGCTTTCATGGTGCCGTAGTTACATCAATGCCCAATTCTTTAGGGATGGGAACCTCCATGATTAGTGGACTTCCAGTCTCTTCTGCAACTAATACACTTCTGCAACTTTCTGCCGATCCAACTATGCAGCAGAATTTTTCTTTAGCAGATGCAGCATCATTCCGAGTGTCATCCTCACCAGCTGTCACAACTTTCCAGTATCTACAATCTCAAGCAGGCTTGGTAGTTCCTCCTACTCTCTCAGCATCTGGTGCAACCATTCACCACATACCTTCTCCTGGTGGTGCCACTATCCATCACATTCCATCTTCAGTACAGTCACAACACCATCGCCCTTCATCAGCTCCAGCTCCACAGATTGCTACTCCCTCTCCTTACAATGTAAAATCTCCAGGCCAAGGCCCTTCATCAGTCCACAGTCTGCCTCCTCAATCACCAAATCAGCAGACCCGTTCTCCAAAACAATCTCATACTTCCTCTCCTGTACCCTCTTGGTCTCCAGTACCAAGTGCATTATCTTCAGCTGCTGGTCGTGGGTCAGGACTTTCAGGTAAACCACAGGTTTTTTATACAACTGGTGCTGTTAATCCAGTAACTCCATCTTCAGTCAGCCAGAAAAGTCACCAGTTGCCTCAAACTACTCTTCAGAAACAAAATCCAGGAAAGGCACAAACTACAACTAATTCATTTACAACAGCACAAATGCAAGTACCCAAACAACCTGTAGTTCAAATTCTTGCTCCTCAACAAAATACTGTAGGTATGCCACGAGCTTTGCATAGCTCTGGTCGTCCCATTCAGCCAAAACCTCAGCAGATTTTACCAAAGCCTACCGTTTCTTCTAATCAATTCTCTGCTTCTCTTTTGAAATCAAGTGGTGGCAGTGGGTCCCCCTCAGTTCACCCAAACCAGGGGCCTATGAGTATTGGCCTGAATGGCCCAATTAATGGGCCACCTTTGGTTTTGGGACAAAGCCAGCCTGGAGTGATAGCTGGTCCTCAGGGAACAATTGTACTTAATCAAATTATTCCAGGCCTTCCAGGGCAAAATCCTATATTAATACAAGGAAATCTAGGAAGCCTTGGAGGTGTTCAGGGTGTTCAGTTAGCACTTCGACCACAACATCCTGGTTCTCTCACAGTTTCTACCCACTCGGGTCATGTTGTGGCTGCCAATAATTCTGCACTAGTAGCTGCTCTCCAGAATTCTGGCCAACCGTCTCAGCACCTTTTGGACCAAGGTAAAAGTCCACTTGCAGGACAACAAACTTTATTCATTCCAAATACAATAACACAACAAGGCCTCCCTACACAAGGTCTTACCTTGGGGGGCACTGGAATACCAAGTAACTCTATTGTACAGTCTTCAGCTCATCCACCTACAGTTCTGAATGCTCGACCCAACATTATACTGGCCCCTCGAGTCATGGGATCCAATCAGTGTATTCAGCTTCAGCAAATTCAAACACCTCAAGGACCAATCACAGTAGCACTGGCACCTGGTCAAACCATTACATTGCCACAACTTCAAACTGCAATGGGAGGAACTGTTTCTGTTCCTAGTGTTCTTGCACCTGGTCAGAGTGTTTTACCCAGTTTACCTGTACAGCATCCTTTGTCACAGTCTCTTGTTCAACCTCAGCAACAACCGTTACATGATATTCAGACTCAGCAAATAGTCAGTGGAGTGACTCCAGCTCTTCAACCTTTTTTACACAAAACAGAACCTCAGACTTATGTTCAAGTGTCCCAGAGTTCTCCTCCTCCTCCTCAGGATGTACAGAATAAGCAGAGTATGCCTGCTCAGATGAGCCTTACTCCAGACACTTCTTCAGAATCCTCTAAGCCTACAAAAGTTCCTAGTGTTAATCTTGCAGAGCTTCTGAAAGAACATGGAATTTTAGATTCCACACCTCCATCTTCTCCAGTAGAATCCACTTCCCATGAAGAATCAGTGGTAAAAAATGATGCCTTCCCTGTGATATCATCACCTCCATGTACAGTTGTGACCCATGTATCAGGTCCTCATTCAACTTTTCCTTCCACAATCAATTCACAGGTAAAACATCCAATTGTTACACTCCTCTAACCATACTTAAAGTTTTGACACTTAAACTTGTTAGAAAAAGAAACAGGTAAACTTTAAAATTAACAATCCAAAATAAACACTCTACTTATAGTTCCTCAGTACTTCTCATGTATGCCTCATACATGATGCTAGGGCAAAATAAAAAATTAAAAGACAAGTCTGTATCTTAGTGCTATAAAATTATAAAATATCATGCACTTACATTAAAAACTTCACGAAGTTTTTTTTTACATCATTAAAATTTGTTGTAAGTATGGTTAAGATGGAGTAACAACAACTCACTTTATGGCTGGTATATTACAGTTTGCTTGTTATTAAGCAGAAAGCTACACTATGAGTATCAAAACCTCATGTTTAGCATTGTAAGTCCCAGGCTTACTACTGAGCCACTGGTAGGCGGGTATGTTACAGTTGTATAAAAATGATAAACTTCATTTTTTTATCCTAATATAATAACTTTTAAAAGTACAATTTGGTATTTTTGAATTTGGTGAAGGTGTGAAAAATGTTCATTTTTTATATTTTTGTTATTGTTTTTTATACTTTTACCAAAAAAGTTCTGCAAAATTTGAGTGTCATATAGCATGCAGCTAGCAAGTTTCTGATACAGCATGTCTCTTGGTATCACTGTTTCTATTTTATTGGAGAGCATGAAAAATCTATTTTTCCTTCAGAGTTAAAGATTACTTTTAAATTGTTCTAGCCTGTGATTATATTATTATGAAAGGACTTGTACATTTTGAATTCCTTCACTAATATTAAATACATAACATGTTGTCAGTTTTCCAATTGTTTTTCAAAGTGATCAGAAGTGTTTACAGTGGGTAGATATTTCTGACTTACTGTCAAAGGTCAATGGAAACTGAAAGATGTGTTGCCTAGGGTTGAGCTAATGATGTTTGGGATTTTGTAATTTCAGTAGAATTTAGAAAGCTAAAATCATGGAGAATGAGATTAAATGATTGTATAAAACCATTACAAAAAAATTTAAAACTAAAGGAAAAAGTTCTATGAACAATCATGATGCTGAAGAGAAGCATTCATGTTTACAGTATAGGCCTAAACGTATCCTAGGCTAGCCTAATTTATGGTAGGTTAATTAAATCATACAGTTAATGTAAAAAACAGGAATCTATAAAATTGAATGTGGAAATATTTATATTGAACAGACTAAAAGTAATTTAAAATATCATTTATAGGATATATATATAAGAAATAAAAAAAGTTTAAAATTCAGCCATAACAGAACATGTATATGAAACACAACATACGGTATTGTGGGAAAAAAACTGTAATATTGGCTTAACCAAAATGTATTATAGCCAATAATATTTGTGAATCCTCGAAAATAATTAAATATAAAAAATATGTATTATTAAATAGAGAAGTAGATCCTGTGAATATTTATGCAAAAATATGGGGGGGGGGGGTGACCTTCTCTAAAAAGTCCATGTGGGAACTGTGAAACTGTACATAGTTCACATGACCTATTTAACATAAAAAAAAGCATGATTATGCCTTACATCTCACTCCTGAACATGACATTGCAATGTCAAACATATAGTCAACTTTTTAGTGGTCAGAAATTGTCCTTTATTAAATTTTGTTAATTGTGTACCTGTTTTAACATTGTGTTTTATTTATTATTTTAATATTATACACAAGTGCCAAGAAATGATACTTGTGGTCCTAAGTAATTGCAATGATTTGTATTAAGTAATTATTTTTAGATCCGTTGTTGCCACTATACGAATCCTACCAGTAAACAAAGTTGTTATAATGATGACATGGTTTCTGACTGTATGGTTGAAGGAAAAAAAGGTCTCTCTTACATAAACCTATTTTGAAGTGCTTGTTAAATGTGCGTTTCTGTAGATTGATGGAGGCTACAGATGGGCTGTTAACTTGCTTAATCGATTACCTATGAGTGTTGATTACATTGATTAGTGTTATGTAAAGTAATCCACTAAGTGAAATTATGACTAAATTGATTAATGTCATGAAAATATTCAACTAATCAAAAGTGGCATTTCCGATTAGTCCAACTATTCAAGTAATTGAAATATTACCATTATGTATGGTTCCACATCCTTTACATCTTACCCACTTTTATGTTTTTGGGGATTAAATTTAATAAATATTATATAGTTTGGATCCCTATCCTGCCTTAGTTCTCTCCCACTTGGATGTGCTTCTCTATCTTGGAGTGTCATTCAGATGCTTTTGAAGGATGCTTCTTTCTTTCCCTCACATTGGTCCTTCCACCTTTTTAATATAGGATTCTAGCTATTTATGTGAGAGGAGGTAATGTACCGTATCGGGAGTTATAATTTTCCTATACTGAAAATGTATTTCCAATAGATGCTTACCTCTGCTAATATTTCCAACCCTTCCTCCCCACTGAAAACCAATGCTTCCATTTTCTGCCAAAACTCGAAGTGATAGTTCAGTAGAATTGAATAGAGGGAGTCACATGCATCAAGAATGTGGTTGTACTCTTATTGGTGGAGGGTTGTTGCATGATGATTTGCATGCAAGATGCATTTGAACCAGTTAATTCAAAGATTGTTGGGAGCTTCAAGGCTTGTGGCATGAGAAAAAAAAATGCATATAGATGGCAGCACTGAACAAGACTAGCTATTCATGTGAGGGAAGGTAAGTATCTATCAGAAATACATTTTCAGCATAGGAAACATAACTTCTGATAATAGCTATTTTCAGTTATTTCAATTATCCAAGTTTCATGTGAGAATAATCAAATAATTAATGAGCCTGATGATTAACTGATTATCAAATTTCAGTAATTGCCTAGTTCTAGTTGTAGCCTAGTGGTTAGCATTCTCAAACTGTGAATCTGAGGGTTCATAGTTTGTGTCCTGTTCCCATAGAAGCATACTGTGCATTTTGGGGCCATGGGTCTGTTATAAGAGTGACAATCAAACCTCTATTTGGTCAGACAAAAGCAACACGAGTTGACAGTGGATGTTGTTGATCAGCCACCTTCCATCTAATTTATCAGTTCAAAATTACGACCAGCTAGCCCTTGTGTAGCTTTGCACACAAAAATTCAAACGAAAGCAAACAAACAATGCATCTCTGTAGATTTGAGATAGAAATTTCAGTTGAAAAATAAGTAGGATCACAGTTTTGAAATGATGTGTTTCAGTAATAACTTTCACAGAATTGTCCACTTATTTTGCAGTGGTCTTCAGCTGACATGTCTTTAAGATTTATGCAGCGTGTTTAGTTTGTTGAGGTATTTTAGAATCTTGTAAACAGGTTTATTGGCAATACAAAAAATATTAATGGCTTTGAGCTAGGTGAATATTGTAACAGAAGAGTTGTTATATATTCAATATATATATATTTTTTTTGTGATTGTTTTGGAGAGATAAAGCAACTGGCAGAATTTCGACATCATCATCATAGACAGCAGTACATCGATAATTCTACCGATGCTTAGCTGCCATACAATCATGAATTATTATTACAAGAAAATGGGGACAAAAGTGGGATCTAACACGCCATGAATACAGAAATGGTGGAGCACATACAGGCGGGGGCGCAGCATCTAAGCCATGCATACACAAGCACTCGGGACAAGTCCTCTGGGCGAGTCCAGCGACATCAGCACGACAG